GTAAATTATGATACAATCACTCATGCATAGAACTAATCTCTCTCTCTCTCTCTCTCCCTTTCATTATTCAAAAGAATTTTACACCAATGTATGGCTAACAAAATTTATAATTATCATTGAATCATTTAAATCATTTTTCATTCGTTGTTAAATCTTTAAATTGCTATCTTTAAAAGTTCTTTTTTTTTTTTTTTAAAGCTTAATTTTATGTGAATTAATTTATATCTTGTAATTCCTAATGATTATTTTAACATTAATGTTATCTCTTTTATCAAACAATTAATTTAACTAAATTTGAGGTGGAAATAAAAAAAAAAACGAAAAATTTGTAAGTTCATATATTACATAATGCAAGAAATTTATAAGAAATATAAGAAAATAATTTTTTTTTCCACTTTAGTAATAAAAAATTGCGAAAGGATAAAGCAATTCATTCTTCTTTTTCTTTTTTTTTTTTAACAGTAATAATTTATCAATTGTTTTTTTCTTCCTGTATCATTTTAATGCTATCTGATAATTATCCAAAATTTTATTTCGGCAATCTTTTTTTTTCCTGTATATGATAATTACTAAATTGTTATATGATAAGTACTAAAATGCTCTCTGATAACTATTAAATGTTACAAGAAAATTGTCAACTGTCCCACTGTTAAAGACTTGTCTAAATTGTCATATGATAACTACTAAAATGTTATCTGATAATAATTATTAAATGTTACAAGAAAACTGTCAATTGTCTAACTATTAAAGATTGATATATGATAATTACTAAATTTTTATATGATAACTACTAAAATGTTATCTGATAACTATTAAATGTTACTAAAAAATTGTCAACTGTCAACTATTAAAGAATCTTTGACATTATCGGATAAATGTGAAGCATTTATGTACTGTAAAATATGCGTAGCATTTATTTGCTTATTCATCAAACCATTCCTTTTTTTTTTCATTTCTCTTTTCCTCCTTTTCAATTCTTTCATTCCTTCATTATATATTTATGCATTATTCAATGTAATACAATATTCTAACTAATATATTTCTATTAAACTTAGAAAAAAAAAAGAATGACATTTTGAATTGGTAAAAACAAATTTGATAGATACATTAAAATTACATTATTGGATAAAGAATATGTAAAATGTATGAAATGAAAATGCTGTAATGATTATATTTTATAATAATTTCATAGTAATATTTGTTTTATAACAATTTAATAAATAATTATATATGATTTTATAATAATTTTACAAAAATATCTTCGATTATTTTCAAATTATTTTAATCAATCCTATTTGATAACAATTTAACATTTCGATGAAATATACAATTTCAAAATGCGACCATTGAAAGTGATCAAACCAAAATATCAATTCTACTTATATCGGTATTTTAACTGTTTCGTCAATCTTTAATCACTCTACTTATTACAACAATCTCATCTAATCCTTTCTTATATCACTTTTCCTTCATCTGTGTTCCCTCTCTCTCCCTCTCTCTCTCCCTCTTTTCATCTAATTGTTTTTGAAGACAATGCATTATGTTGTCACAAAATTTGAAATTATAGAAAATTTTGAAATCTTTCTCCTACCTCTACTCTTTTTATTTGTGTTACATACATAATACATCACCTACACAATCACCAACAAAATTTGGCTTCGATTTTCCTTATCATTAAGCTATTAATTGGTTAATTAGTCAATTGATCAATTAATTCCGATTAAGCTATTAATTGGTTAATTAGTCAATTGATCAATTAATTCCGGAAATAATACAGTACATTATCATAAAATTTAAAACCACTGAATAGTTTCATTTTTTCCAAAGCTAATAAATGCTATTTTTAGATCAATTAAATGTGCTATGGAAGATGATATTTGTTTGTTTGTTTGTTGATTTGAGAAGATTTAATTTTTGTCACAGTTATAGGATAACTATTGGAGAAATTTCGAAGGTAAATTTGATTGATTGCTAGATTGTTTTTGTAGTGAGAAATTTGTTTTAATTTGATTGAGATTGTATTATCACAAAATCCATAAGAATGGCATTTTTCGAGAATAAAATTTTTTGGAATAATTTGATAATTGATAATTAATTCTTTATTTAAGTGAAAGAGAGAGAGAGAGAGAGAGAGTTGTTTACAACAATTAAATTACTCAAATTAAAACATCTTATCACATGATAAACAAGATATTTCTATAAATAAAAAAAACATGTTTATTCCAATATATTTCTATACTATAAAAATACTTTCTAAAATTTTACTGGAAGATATAATGGAAAAAAATACAAAGAAATCTAATGCTGATTGCACCTTTTTTTTAATTTTTAGATTAATTTCATTGCCAAACATTTCAGATTTATCTAATTTTCTTACCTTCACTACTTGATAAGCAATACTATTTAGTTCTATTATTAAGATTACGTACCACCTATCTAGCCTAGTAATAACTTTTCGTTCTATTATCAAGATTTAGGCACCACCCATCTAGCTTAGTAATAATTTTCCATCCTATTATCAAGATTAGGCACTACCTATTTAATCTAGTAATAACTTCTCATTCGCAATCTATTTCCTAATCTCAAACACCAATCTAATCATCTTATCATATAACTAACCCACCTTTTCTACTTGTTTCTCGATTTCTTCGTATTTAATCAATTGCCGTTCGATACTATTATTTTTTGCTCGTTCCATCGATTGGAATAACTAATACTTTCCTTTCATACACATTTTTTTTTTCCCACTTCTATTCTGACTTGCCTTATGATTTTCACAACATTGTGACAATTAACACCTTCCATACCTTTATTCAGGTTACTTTACAATCTTTATCCTTTTGTCCAATTATCAATTAACACTCTTAATCTTTACTAGTGTAAATATTTATGAACGATACAATTTGTATTGAAAACGGAATATGAATAGTTTATTACAATGTTGTAATCTCATATTAATCTTCTTTGATTTACTTTTTAATCGAATTTATAAGCAATAACAATATTTTATCAACATCTATGATAACTATTGAATAATTACAAAATTTCAACTTGAAATTAATTTCAACATCTAGCCGATCATTTATCAAAAATAAAAATTGATTTGATAAAATAACTTATGCATGGAATTTGATACAGGAAATGATTATTAATTAATTAACAATCTTTCTTTTTTTATCTCATAATTTTTTGGAAAAAAAAAACTGCTACTAACTAGTACAAAAATTAACATTTCATCAAAGCATTTCTTTCTTTTCATTGTTATCATAATCATTGCTATCATATCAGATGTTAATATATGCAACATGGCTTATTTTTATTGATGAATTTTGTCTCTTTTCATTGTTTTTTTTTTTTTTTGTCACTTCAAATACCATCAATAAGGTATAAAGCATTAAAGTATAAAGCATGCTATACAAAGAACAACCATACGTTATAAGAGAAGGGAATTGGATTATTTCATACAGTTCGATTCCTTTCTTATCTCAAACTAATTCAATAACAGAGCATAATACTATAGAAGTTTTACATTTATATGAAAAGAAAAAGGAAAATTGAAATGCTTAACCCATGGATGTTAGATATGAAGGGAAAAAAAAGACATTAGCCTTACTTAATATTGTTTGGTATTGTAATCATTAGCAACAAAAAGATATTAGCCTTATTTAGTATTGTTTGAATTGTAATCATTAGCAACAAAAAATATTAGCCTTATTTAGTATTGGTATGCAAAAATTTGTCATGAAAGAGTACAAATGATAATTAAATTGGAATTATTAAATCATAATTAATGACTTACTTTCCTCAATGAAGTATTGCTGTTTGCAAAATTCGAACGTTTGAATTGTAACCGTTAGCAGTAAATTTCAGTAAAACAGTTTATAAATCGATGAAAGAACGATAGAAAATTAATGGAAAATCATAGAGCAGAAACAAAATGATGATGCATCATGATGAAATTGTTAGATTAACAAACAGATGAGCTGAAATAGAGGATGAAGAATAAATGCTGTTTGGACGACGATGGTTAGAGCTCTTATATATATATATATAGTAGGCAAATGGGGAGGGAATTTACAATGAATGGTCGATGAGATATATGTCAATAAGGGATTTACAACACAATTTCTAAATGATATAGGAAAAGGTAAAGTATTGGTTACAATAGGCTCTTTGTCTAATATCGTATATATGGAAGAGCGACAAAGAAAAATTTAAATATTAACAATCAATATGAGTTATAGCTAAATTATGGAAAGCTACTTTGGGTTATCCAATAAATTGGTTTATAATTATTTCTTTATATCTAAAGATATCAATTAAATTTCAATTGAAAAAAAAAGGAAATTGTATTCGTTTGGTACTAATATACCAAAATTGTGTCTTAATGTAAAAACACAGATATAATGACTGTCGGAAAAACTCCGAAAGTCATAATGCAAATTTTTAGTGTACAAATTAACTTGTGGGACAAATGATTTGTTGTGCCAAATTAGAAAACTCATTTGGTAAATTAAATCAATAAATCATTTGTCCAACATTCCCCACCGTTAGCACATTGTGAAGAATCTCTCGTTTATAACTATGCCAATTTATGTCAAAATGTTGTCATCTTTGATCTTTAATAATACCCCATATGTAATTGTCAGAAAACTAAACATCCCCCTGTTTAACGTTCAAAGATCATACTATGTAGGGAATTTTATAAGCCAAACCCACTGGTCTACACTATAAAAGGATCAAGTAGCGCGGAATTGACACACTTACTGACTCACTTTTTATCTATGGCTCGACATCTCAACGACTCATTTAATTCTTGTTTTTCTACTGGTTCACTCTGTCAGATTTGACTCAATTTTCACTCCCCTTTTTCATTCAATGGTGAACCAAGGCTCTTAGCAGCGCTCTCATACTTCGTTTATTTCCACTGTCAACACATTTTCTTCTTATAATAATCATTGTTCTTATGCTAAATGCGCTTATCATATCCCTATATTATCGGTAATTGCGCATAAACGTCTTAGACTAAGGCCAACCAAGTATTCCAACCAAACCCTCCTATCGAAAGTGAACGAGCTGTCGCGAATTTCAATTTCGCGAAAGACCAAAGTATAAAAAATTATTTAAGTTTAAACGATAGCATCCCATAACTTAAAATCACACAGGTTACAAACAACTGTTATCCAACTGTAACTTTTTTGTCTTAACTTAAGTTTCAAACTTAATCTTTAGCCAAGTTGTTAGGGAATAATTGTAATATTCTTCCTAAATTACTTTTCAAAATTTTAATCCGTTCAAGCAATTATCGATCAAGTCTCGAGATCTTTATTTTAAATCACCTCTGTTGAAATAGTTGGAGCAAAACCACTCCCACTTTTTCCGTATATAAGCTGTATTCCGTGTTACCAAGGGGACTGATGATTAGTTTTTCATTATTCTCGATCAGTTTGGATTATTCTCATTTTTTTTCATTATCGGCAGTATCGTGTCGTTTTTGTGACCTTACCCTTGACAAGTAAAGAATCAATCTTGCCTTTGTCCACAACGTACGACACACGCACATCATCCACATCAAACTTGATGCAGCTAATACTCCAAATAACCTCAATTCTTCTCCTCTACAACCAACGTGTAGAAAATCCCCTGCTCGTTCCAACTATTGACTGACCGCAAAATCAACAAAAATCCACGACACGAGTCACAAAGAGTTTGTGCCCTCACGTAAAAAACCAAAAAAGAGATTTCGTCCGTGGAAGAAATTTTCAACATATTTTTTTTGGTACCACGAGTCGGCATATCGGACGCTATAATCAAAAGTGCTCAACCGGTAAAACAAAAGTTAGGGAATCTTCTTGATGAAGCAAAAACAATGGATCTAACGCGCCTCCAGACCAACATTCATCGGTGGAGGAAGCAACAGCAATTCGAACTCAAGAGGAGGACTATAGAAAATAAGGCGTCTAAAACTCTATATTGGTACATTCGGATCAACCAGCGAAAAATAGTTGGAGAATATCCAGAAACAAAAGAATGCGCAGAAAAAAGACTAATACGCGGATATGGTCGACGATGATAAAGGCCTT